AATTTAAATATACCACCAAGCAGGAGAAGGCTTGAAATTAAAAAGTTACCTATCTCAGGAAAATAAACACACCTCACTGAGAAGATAAATACATCTACACAATATATTGCAGTATTCCTCATAGAATAATCTGACCGTTCAACATGGAAAGCTTAGAAATCAACTCACATTTTTTTAATTTAAATGAATCTGAGAAATCATGAGTCACTGAGATAGTAAATGACAAAAGTTGGTGAGAGTACATCACTAAGACAGAGGAATTATTGTTTAGCCTTGGTATGAATAGCTGCACCACAGAAATATTCAATCTCAGTGTTTTAAAAGCAGCATTAAACCTTAATTCTTCTCTAGTAATTACAGAAGGCGCCTGTTTATATTCGAGCTTAATGTTCAGTGACAAGCTTCTATTATTACAGATAATGTAAATATTCAAAGACACTGCCTAAAACAAATAAATATCTTAAAAAAGAGAAGAAATTTTAAAAGATAATTAAAAGCATCCATTCAATGCCTCAAAATAAATCTTATTAGTGTTGTTCATTCCATCTAGGCCATTATCCCACACTGGTCAATGGCTTGTTTTATAGAAGACACTGAAGGATTTCTATTATTTGCAATCATTTTAGTAAAAAATCTGCCAAGCAGTTCATGGACATCTGTTACAAGGGTTAACACCTTGCAGGAAAGAGGCTGAAGCTAAACAACAAAGTTATTCTTTGACAAGAAGTTACAGCTACATTAATCTTTATATTTTTTCTCCCCTCCATCTCTTCTTTCTAGAAAGAAGAAAAGGTGCAGCTTTACAGAGAGCCAGTACATCATGTTGCTATGTTTTAGAGATAGGCCTTGCAAAAAAAAAAAAAAAAAGCTAGCTAGCTAGCTACCTGATGTGTACTTATTTTTAGAAGCTGAACATATCACCAGAAAAGTCTGTTCTGCATTCCCAGAGCCAAGACAATATGTCACTCTCAGACTGGATGCATTTCTGAAGCCTGCAGGCAAGGATCCACTAGTGACAGTGCATATCAGCACAGAAACCGAACAGCAGAGCTACAGTGGAAAGTACAAAATGACTAGAAAGAGGCAGAAAACGTGCTGAAGGAAAAATAACTGTTGAAATGGACTACTTCATAATCATCCATGTCCTCATCAAGAAAAACAGGATGGGAATAAAGTGCTAGCCAGATCACTGAGATAAAGGTAGAGAAGACTAACTTGCTACAGGAACAGAAACCAAAATACAGTTTGTTCTCTGAGCAGGAAGAGAAGCACCTACCCACAGGATAAGTGGCTAGTAACATTAAAAAGACATTAAATTAAACAAACTCTTAACTGCTAGAGGACCTTGGATTCACATTACAACTCAAGCACTGAGAATGATGCCCAAGTGTGTAATGAATATCTTGATTCCACAGGGAGGAACACTGCTTAAAGTACAGCAGTGTTGCATTAATGCTACCACCAAGACACTACTTATAGCCTCAGCCCAAATTTTCACCTCATGTTCTGTATCATCCCCAAACAAAATAAATTGCTGGTGTAGATACATGCATAAGCCTCCTATGGGATTTTCAGAAAGCTACTCCCCTCCCTTGTCCTTGAGATTTTGCTTTAGATCTAAGTCCTGCTTGGAGCAAGGCCTTTCCCTGTCTGTGCTGCCCAAACTCGAGGGATTTGCTGCATAGCCCCAGACATGAGGCACACAGTTGTTTTTGGGGAGAATCATCTCACTCTCACAGCAGAAGCTCAGCCTGACCTATAGAGTAGAGGATGAGGCTGAGCGCACATTCTGTGCTGCTGCCTCTGAACTGCAAACAAGCACATTAAAGTTGTATCATTTTGCTGCAATACGAAAAGTGGGAAGCTCATTTAGTATAAAATATTGATACTGAGCAAAATTAACCACAGTGGTAAAAAAAAAAAAAAAGCAAAGAAAAATTGTTCAGCTGTCTGTTCCAACCATACCAGTAATTTTAAGTCAGATACTCTGGAATTGCTTGCTTATGAAAATAATGCTGATACAACTTGTAGGGCAACCATGCAGAGAAATAATTCACATCATATCACAGAATGGTCGAGTTTGGAAGGGACCTCTGGAGGTCATTTCAGTCACTCTCCCTCTCATGCCCTCCAACTCAAACAGGGCCACCTAGGGAGCAGATTGTCCAGATCCAAGTCTTTTAAATACCTCCAAGGAAAGTTAACAAAAATCTTACATTGTTACATTAAATTGCAAGAGCTATATAAGGAGGATTAAGATAGAAGCAGAGGAATGATGTCATTTTAAATCAAAAACAACCATTCTTATTTTCAAGCCTTCAAGTCCTATTGTTTCAGCATCTTCAGCTCTAGTGTATGAAGCACAGGATGGGAGTCTAGTTAACACCTCATCCACTCCATAAAACCATATTAAATAACATTCTTGGCCACCCTCCCATAACAAGTATTCTGGTTTATCATGTGCTTAATTAACAAGTCTATTAATTTTTGTCTTTGATTGAGACAGTTATGTGTGTAATTACTTCCTATAGCTTTAATACTAGCAGGTTTGTTGTTTTAATACTGGCAGACAGGATCTCCCATCCCCTCATTTACCTCAGAGATTCAGAGCCATCTCTGAGCTATTTAAAATTATACACACACAAAGTGTGTGCTCTATGTATTACATCCTATCCTTTACTTCTCCATTTGTTGCCATGAAACTCACAAAAATATAACATTTTAGCTTCTCACCTCAAGGTTAAACTTGCCTGAAATTACTAAATGCATTTAAACCTATCAACAAAATGATTGGCAGGCAGATATATCTAACATGACTGTACAAACCTGCTCTTCTTTGGAAACCATACAAAAACAACCGAAATCATAACGCCTGTCAGCAGCATTTGCTGAGTCGCTGCTCTTCTGCCACTATCTGTAGCATGCTGCTTGCAAGACAAGTGTACCAATGAGCAATAAAAAGTAATTTCCTTACTAGACTCTAAGTGAGGGTAGTTCACTTTGTGTGCTGATAGAGCCAGAGATGAGCAGAAGAACTATGTTGGCTGTTTACATACAGCACAGTTTCCAGCACATTAAAGAACCTTAAAATGAACAATCATAGCCCTATACAACCAAATACCATTAGGTTTTGTCTCACGTCTGATGTTTAGAACTCAACTAATGGCCGCGCAGCCTTTCTGAAGAGAACCATCTCCCATTTCATACCAGGCCAAACCACTTTGATTTGCAGAATCAAATTCTCTAACCCACATAAGCTTATAAGAGCAGGTATGTTTTATTTCAGCACTGCTCCACATGCTGGGTGCAAGGGGGATCGCTCCTCCTAGCAGGCACACCAGAGAGCGGGATCTTGATACATTTATAAGCCAAGCCCAACATATTCAGCAGTATTTCCCAAGACCTATTGACATATTCATTACTTTTCTGGGAATTCATTTACATACTGTCCCTCCCCCTAGTGCATGCGCAGTAGCTTCCTCTGGTGGTTAACGGGTGAAGGTTTGATGTCTTCCTCCCCACCTGGTGGTCATCCCTGGATGAAGTCAGTAGTCTTCCTTGCCATGTCCTTCCAACCTCTGTCCCAGTTCTGAGCTCTTCTCCCTCTTCTCCCACCCTGTGTGCCTCAGCAATCTCTTACCTGTTTGTTCCCCCCTCCACTGTTCTCTCATTGGCCCCTTTCTGCTGACTTGAGAAGGCTCCCTTTTGGGAATGTGTATGGGCCAGCAAAAGTTAAACTAAGCAATGCTATTTGCGAATTCCTTTTGAGTTAGCAAAACCAAGCAGTGTTATGGGCCCCTTACATTTTGTGTTCTTCAGCTTACTATCTCAACTTGTCAGAGGTATTGTGCATTAAGAGATCAGATCATCTCAAATTCTAAAAACATTACAAAGAACCAAATATCCCTTTAAAAACTATATATATATAGGCAGGCTTTGGTAGTGCTTGCCACTGCTTACAGCAGCAGAATTCCAGCCAACACGCTTAGAACTTCAAATTTAGCAAGGAGTTCAATTATTAGTTAAAAGTACTGTAATAATTATCTGTTAGCATTATTCATACACGTAGTGAAACCTCGATGGGTCTCCCCAGAAGCAGCTGATTTTACCCCATATTCAGTACCACAAATTGACCAGAAAGTCCTTTCTTTGACATCTGCATGGGATATCAGCCGAGGAGATTCAGCACTTTCAGTTTTAATGCTGCAGAGTGAGAAGCCATTGTTATCCACCAGACCAGGATACTTGCTTGGATTTTGATGAATCACATAATAACTATAATCAAACACAAGCAGAAGCTATTATGTAGCAGTAAGTACTGATAATTAAGCGTCACCCATTCTTCCCTTTATTTTGCAAAGCTGCACGCAGAATACCAATCAAAATTCCCAAATCAAGCACTGCAGGTCCTAGTCCTCCTCTTTGGACCAGCTGACCTGATTTGCCTCCTCTGTTCTACTGATAGAACCCCATGGACCTCCACTTGCCTTTATTAAGGCTGAATTAGGCCAAAAAATGACTTACACAACCCATACAAGTTATATTTTCTGGTCAAGATGAACGCGCCTGAACAGCTGCTTGCCATACACAGAAACGCGCAGAGAAACATAAGACCTTTCACCACTTTTGTGCACTAACACCAGCTTTCCTCCCCACACCCTGAATTGTTCTGAGGTAAAACGTGACCGCAGTCCCACCGTAAGGTGAGGACAGCCGCCATCAGCAGCCCAGGGAACTAAAACCAGACCCAAGAGAGCTCACGTTCGCTGTGGGAAGGCGCAGCCCCTCACAGCACAGCGCCCGCCCTCAGAGAAGCGCCTGGAACCTTCCGCAGCGCCTGGAAGCTCCGGAGCCACCACAGCACTCGCGCCGTTCTGCTAGGAAACTGAGGTGAGAAACGTGGAAAAAGTGCAAATTCCGAGGAAAATATTGTGTTGTGTGAGATAATAGATGGAAAAAAAGGCTGGTTATATTGAAAGCATACCAAGGAAAGCACTTACTTGAGCTTCCCGGCTGCAAGGGGGAAGACCTTCCTGCTGCTCGCTGGCTGTAAGCTGTTTGCTGGCAGAGTCCTGAACGCAGGTTTGCTGAGCAGAACGACTCTTTGCGCCCAGTGTACGGTCTGAAGCCTTTCTTTGTGGTATCTTTCTCCTCTAACCCCTTCACATCCTTTCTTTTTGGTGCTGGTTGTCTACAAACCCGCTCCCCTCCCGAGGGAGGGAACAAAGGCAGCAGCTCTGGCTTTTATCCTCACACTTCGCAGCCCTTTGAGGACACGTGTTGTGCATTTAGGATAACAAAGAGATGGCCATCAGCTTCCATCCCATGGCCTCTCAGGTGCTCTGTTATCGGGATTTTCTAATTACACCAATTAACCTGAGGAATTGGGGGAAGGAGGGGTTGTTGGTTTTGTTTTTAATTCACCCAAATCGTGCAAACTAACGGTTGAGTTTTTCTTCTATACGTTTGATATTAAACAAGTTTGATGCACAGCAGCTGCACACAGTCTTGCTTGCTGTATGGTAGGCAAAAAGAAGGTCGTGGATGAACTATGTCCTGTAAAAAGTCTTGAGTTCAACCTCTTTTGCTGTGATCTTTATTAAATATAGCCTGTATTTACTTCTCTGTATGAGAAGACCAAGGACTAGATCCCTGCTGCTCTTTCCCTCACATCCCAGACAGGCTGTTGCATCTATAAAGAACCCATGCATTTTTCTTTAGGAAAAAAGAAATAGGTGTGGGAAAAGCAAATGAACAAATCAACCAATTCCAGGCATTATCAGCTCCATGCAGGTTCAGCCAGGTGGGAATTAACATGTTGCATTTGAGCCATCATAGCAAGCCGACTAAGGGCAGTTCTGTACTGAATTTCGCATATGGCTGCTGTTGACTCCTCTGCTGGTGTTCCCTGGTGTGTGCATGCTTGGACCAGGCTGCCCAGAGGGGTTGTGGATGCTCCGTCCCTAGAGGTATTCAAGGCCAGATTGAATGGAGCCCTGGGCAGCCTGATCTAGCATTAAATGGGGAGGTTGGTGGCCCTGCATGTGTCAGAGGGTTGGAGATTCATGATCCTTGAGGTCCCTTCCAACCCTGGCCATTCTGTGATTCTGTGACCTCCCTTCAGTGAGCAACCCTGTCACCAGCTGCCAGCCTGCACGTGGAGGGGGTGGCAGCCCTCTGGTAGCCTGTGCAGTGGCTACATCAGGGCACTCCCATATGTACTTTATCAAAGGGTGCTAAGAAAAAGCATGTTACCGGTCTTTCCCAGGTGGTTTTCCATGCTACTTCCTGACTGTTGGTTAGAGAGTGGAAAAGCAGCACTGTGGGAAGAGTTAGAGGTTTGATTTCTGGAGGAACTGCAGCATGTATCTGATTCTTCATGTTGGTATTTCGCTTACCAGCCCAGAAGGGTAAATGTCTGAATTAGGAACAGCTAGTAAATTATTTACTAACAAACATTGGGTATTGATGAAGTTGTCACAGCCTGCAAACTTGTAACATAGAAAGGCTGTTAGCAAGGGAAGTGCATTTAGCAGAGCTCGTGCTTTAGCTTATGGCAAAACTGCTGTGTGTGTGCGGACACGAAGGCTCTGTATATCCAGCAATATTGGCTCCCTCTGGTGGCTTCCTCACGTAAACGCTAGTTGTGGGTTTTTTCCCTCAAAAGTCGTGCAGTCCCGTGGGCTGGAGTTACTCGGATCGAGTAATAACTGTCTGTGAGAGCACTGTAAGTCTCCTGAAATGCACTGATCAAGAAATGCTTTTCCCTTGAGTAAGTTTAAAATCTCAGGAACTGAAGAGGCTTTATGTTGTTATGCAAACCAGGGAAGTAATTCAATCAGGAATGTTCAATTTTTATATTAGAGCCTTTGTAAAAGAAGTGTTACTATTAAGTAACATAATCGTTTTGTAACACTTGAAATAAGTTATGCTGAATTTTAATTCCAGCCCTAGTGTATTTAGAAAATTAGTTCCAAAACAAACATTTACTTACAGAGATGTAGGAATAACATGAGGTTAGAATGGAGACCAGAAGAAGACTTAAGCAAAAAGCATAAATATTTGCAAAAGCTATTCTTGGGCATGCATCCGTGTTGAGTGTATCTTACAGCTCAACAACATCTCCTATTAAAGAAATCCCATAGCAAAAGCACAGATAATTGCATAACTAACATGATTACACAGCTCCCTGCACTCATTCTAGGCTGTCCCATCTGTATCCCATGTGGGCATATCCAAGAAGACCTTCCAGAATTTGCTTAAGTAGTTAAAAATTCATACATCTCTAAATATAATCTCCGAATTGAGAAACTATATTAGCACCTTGTCATTGGTCAGAAGTGAGCGTTTCAGTTGATACAGCATGTCTGGTACAATATACTCCAGGCTTCAGGTGACACTGGTGAAATCTGAATTAAACTGACAGAGTCGTGGTGCCTACACAGGCAGAAGTGAGGAAGCAGTGTTTATTAATGTCATCTAAATGTTGTGTTATTGATGTCAATCTTACTGGAACTCCCCAAGCAATCAGCTCCAAAATGACCAAGAATTTGGTTGTACCCAATTTTGGCTGCAGATATTTTGCTATAGCAGAAGAACTTTGTTTCTGAATACATCAGAACTTTTTTTTTTTGCTTCAATTTCTTTTCTGAACAAATACTGCACTAAAGGGCTTGTCCTCGAGCCTGTGCAGGGAATGTTCTCCAGGTCTCAAGTAGCCCTTTGTGAAGCTTCTGCCCTTATTCAGTCAAATATTGCATAGCCTTTCAAACTGTTAAAAGTTATTTTGGGATTATTTCTCTGGTTCTTGCCTCCATGCTCTTAACACATGTTAGAATTGTCAGAATATTATTAGAGCAAGTTGTGCCTTTAAGAAATGTTCTTCTGTCAGTTTGTTTTATATTTTAGGCCAATCTTTCTAGAATCCTTACCTAACCTTTACGGTACTGGAGAAGGGGGAAAAAATGGTTGCTAGGATACTTGCAAAAAGGCAAATTAGCTGCACTGAATTAAAACAAATGGATTAGAAATCTCTAACCTTTTTAGTTAAACATCCGGTTTCAACAACTGCCAAAATTTCATGGTTCTTTTTGAAAAAAGAAACTCAAAATATTAATAGTACTCCAATTTCACAGGCATATGGAATTTTAAAGCATTTCCCTACTAAGTTCCATTTAGCATATCAAACTATGGTAAGTTTCCTTTGCTGTTTGCAGAATATTTGATAATTACTTTTTTGTCTTTTGATGTTTTATGTTTTGCCATCTCCATTTGAAGTATAGCTGTGTGGTTCTGTGTCTTCCATCAAACTGAGCTCCCAGCTGAATAAAGCAGAGACCTTGAAACCAAGTAGAGCCGAAGGCTTCAATGAAATACTTCATTTCTGACAGTGATCCTCATTTTACGTCGCCTTAATTCTTCTGAATTTTTCTTTATTAATAGCTTTAACAACAACAACAACAACAAAGTCAACAGAAAAATAATAAGGATTTAAGGTGCTTTTTATTCCCCCTGATTCACATACTGACAAGAAATCAATCAGATTTTCTTCTGCAAGTTTAATGTCATAAAATTCCTTGCTTATTTCAAGAAAATGTCTTTTGGATATTCAAATCAGCCGTGACAGAAAAGGCTCAGTAACTGTCATTACTCTGGGACAATTAGAGCATTAACTCTGAGGTAGAACAAGAACTTAAGCTATCAGGACCACTGCAATTCACTGTTTTAGGCTCCCTCTATTGCTTGGCCATTCCACCAAGTCTTGCAGGTTTAATGCAAGAAACGAAGCCAATTCTACTCTGTACAGTGATGTACCACCATGTGATCCCTGCAAACTTACCATGAAATCACACTTTACAGACTAGCAAGTACATTTGTGTTAATGGCTCTTCTTTGCTTTTTACCCTGAGTAAGGCCTGAAGTATAGCCCTCACCTTTATTATACACATGGGACATCTTCTGGAAAACAACGTAGGTTGGGCATTTTCTTTGTTTAGGACCAGGAAGAGGAATAAACAGTATTTACTCCTAAGATGTTAATGGTCAGTTGAGTAAACAGAAGACAGAGTAGTATTAAGCCTTGCTGTGTCAATGTTCTTAATGAAAATGTAGTAGAAAGAGCTCCTTGCTGTTAAGTCACAGATGGGAAGAATTGTTTGCCTTAGTGCATGATTAAAGAGAAACGAGTACATGCCAAGAGTTGATGTTGCAGATGCTATATAAAATGTACATCTGATACTTCACCTTGCCAAAAATGGTCAGAATTCACTTTTTTTTCCTGAATAGCTGAGGATAGTTTTAAAACTTACAGGGAAGAACAACACTACCAGATTCACAATCAGTTTCTATGATTGTCCATTCCTGCATTCCATTGTCTTACTACAGTAAGAATCTGTTCTGCATCCTTTCTGATTCCACGTAGATTGCAGATAAAATGCATAGGAATTCCTGTCATAGTGAAGATCACTGTGCTGCTCTGTCATAACTATTTTCTCTCTCCACCAAATTCAGTACACAATATTTTACGTAAAAGAGATGTGACCAGGGCACTTCTCCTTTTTGTTTTTTGTAACTTGGCTTGGATTGGAAGGGACTGCAAAGAGCATCTAGTTCCAGTGCCCCAATTTGACTCTTTTGCATCCATGTTCTTTTTTTCTTCCTCTAATTTCTGTTATGTGCTGCAAGGATAAGTTTGCAGTTCTGATGTGCTGTTATTAAAAAAAACAACGACAAAAAAAACGCAACCAACACAAAACCATACAAAAGGATAATCACTGCCTGCATCAATGAAACCAGGCTATTCACCATCTGAGAAGGATAATTGGTAAGAATCCAAATGTAGCAGCATAGACAGCAAAACGCAAATTAGAATGGAAACACATTTGGATAATTGCAAACATGCCAAATCAGGGAACATAAATCCATGTCAAAAAATATTAGTGTGTAGCATTTTTGCAGTATCTACTGAATTAAAAACACAGAGGCTATAATTACTACAAAGCTCAAGGTTCCTAAAGGAAAGTAGATTGTATGAATGAAGATCACTTTGTAAGAACTGGCATTAAGGAAAATGGCGTTAAAGCATTGGAAAAACAGACTGATTCCTAAGGGGTGCAAAGCATGCCCCACAGGACAGGAGCTTCACCAGCAGGCTCTGTCCCACCATACCTGAGCAAGGCAAGCAGGACAGACATGGAGATGGCAGTCAGGGCCAGCTAAAAGCCTAGATCAGCATACAAATCTATGGTGTTGAAATAGGTCCAGGGTAAGCCAGGAACACAGATTCACGCATCAGGGTTAGAGTTGAATCTGATGATCAGAAGCAGAGCTGCACATAAGCAGGAGTTTCCAGGCACGTCCACAGTAAATTAGGAAGGCCCAAAGTCAAGCTGGCAAGTCAGGGTC